CCCTCCCCCCCCCAAAAAAAAAGAAAATAAAAAAAATAAAAAAAAATAAAAAAATAAGAGAGGATGTACTGAGGTTATTGGTGCCTAAGTCTGAGTTATAGGTTGGTATTTTTAGAGAAAGTCATCTGCTATTAGTCAATCAGTCTTTGGATGAGAAGAGTGACAAAATAAAACTGAGCATGTTGATGTTATGTCGTATTAAGGTGAATTTAAGGTCATGTATCTTTAGCCCAGCATCATCAAATGGTATTCCCTCGTCATCAACCACCCCCTCCCCGCGGCCAAAAAGAAAAAGGGGATAATAGATGATAAGAATGGACATTGGGCCTAACTCAACCCCAAAAGCTAGCTTGTAAGGTGAGGATTGCCCAAGCCATATAAGGAGACCAAGGACCTCAAATCCCTCCGATGTGGGACAACTCAACACCCCCCTCACGCCCAGGCCTCTGGAGCGTGGACAACATAAATGGGGGCCCAACATCGGTAACAATAATTGGGATGGGCCTGGCTCCGATACCATGATAAGAATGGACATTGGGCCTAACTCAACCCCAAAAGCTAGCTTGTAAGGTGAGGATTGCCCAAGCCATATAAGGAGACCAAGGGCCTCAAATCCCTCCGATGTGGGACAACTCAACAGAGACAAATTAAAACGCAGAAGAAAGGAAAAAGAAAAGTATGAAGTTGGAAGATGAGATAAGAAAAAAGATGGCTGAAAGGATACCACTAATCATGACTGTGCTTTTTGACAAGATGAAGAATTGAGGATTTTGCATTTTCATTCAACTTAGGTGTAGGTGCTTTAACAGTCATTATTTTGTGCTCTAAAACGTCTCAGACTACTAGACCTGTAAAAGCTAGAATAGCAGATGGTAAAAGAATGTTGCATCCATTCATATAGTTTTAAGGAGAACATTGTCTCAAGAGTCCGTATCAGCCTTATATGATTGTCTTCATTAAAAAAAAGCTTTACATGATTATTTGTGAGCTCGAAAGCTTTGAGCTGAGTCGAAGCTCAAAGCTAATATATCAGCTTAGCTGCTATTATTGTTTAGTGCAATCCTCTTCACAATTGACCCATGGACGATGAGCCTTATTGCCATGTTGGCCTAATACTGAAATGCGACCTATTCCTACTTATGTTGCACCTAGTTTGAATGCATAAGCTCGCTTCAACCGAGCCTTCAAAAATGCTGCTTAGATGCATAAGTGTTATGCATTTGGTTTCTTTGAGTTTGTCATCCATATCTTATTTATATGGAACTCTTATTGCCTTTTCTTATTTTCGATGGCCCTAGCTGATTCTTCCAAAGTTAATGTGAAAAGAGAGGAGAAAAAAATCTAACAACATGCAAAAAGGGCTCCTTATAAGAGTTTTTATACACGAAATAAAGAAAGCTTTATGCTTGGTTTTCTAATTTAGTATGATATTATCATCAGGAATATATTTTTGATGATTCTCTTGGTTTTCAACGACGACATAATTATTAAGAATAACACAATCTTCTTTACACAATGTTCTTGCCACTAATGCGGTTTCTTGAAAAAACACCCAACATGGGTGTGTTAGTCATGAACTTGATTAAAGAACACGAGTTTAAAACACACCCGCTATATGTGCATTGGACATTAGATCAAAACACACATAATGATTAACTCACAACAACACTACTTAAGAATATTGTGTAAAATATTCTCGATGATTTTCTTGGCTTTTTGCACGTAAAATACTTAAAATACCTGTTATGAGAACATTAAAGGGTTAATTCTTAGCTGCTTGGAAGTTTTATCGATGTGCGATATGCACCGTATTTTCCAATTTATTGTGCAGCAAAAAGTAGGTTCTGGGGCCAATAAAAGTTTCTTCATTACGTTTTTTTCTTTCTGCTTTTCTGATTTTGTAACTTCTACAAAAATTTGTCCTGCTTCTTTGAAATTCTTTTGTAAATTACTTCTGGACTAAAGTAAATTTACATACCAACTGTAATACAGCTGAATCAGGTTTCCCAAAATGTTCAGTCATTAGATGTCTAGTAAAGGCAAGAATTGATGCAGGAGTAAGACAACAAGACGTAGCTGCTTATGCCTATTGAGAAGCCCCCTTTTACTCTTGTTGAAGTGTGTGACCCTCATCTAAAAGCTTAAGCTGTTAGAGAAACTCATTTTTATTTACTTAATTATGTCTTCAACGTGCCCCCTCTCGTGCGGGCTTATGAGCCAAGCACGTGAAAATTCTTTTTGATATTGGGTGGCGGTGAGACTCGAATCCAGGACTTGTGCCTGCTCTGGTACCATGATAAATTGACCTTGGACCTAACTCAATCCTAAAAGCTAGCTCATGAGGTGAGGATTGCCAAAGACCATAAGGAACCCAGGAACTCCACATACCACTATGTGGAACTCAACAACTCTTGCATTCTTTTTGAAATGCAATTTTTTTTCCAAAATGGAGAAGCTCCTTTACACTTACATTTTCCTTCATATGAAAGACAAATTAATGACCAATACCCAAATTTTAGGTGCTAAAGTTCAACTACCTTTTAATGCTTGGTTGAAAGTTGATTTTGAAAGATGTTCAGCCCCTAGGGGGATAGGTAAACTTCCTGGGATATACTTTGTTATTCATGTCTTTCTTTCCGCAGGAGTAATCCTGTTTATTTGTTTTGTTCTAGAACTTCTCATCTCTTTGCAATTGTGATGCGTCTATGCTTTAGAACTAAAATTGTGTGCCTTCTATTGTTCTGTATGCTACTTCAGTGCCTGGAATTGGAAAGGCTTTCGGTTCAGGTCTTTTAAGGATAATAAAGTTCCAGCTGTGCTCCCGAAAAAATGATGAAGAGAATAGAAACTTGTAAACTGTATTCATTTTACTTTTTGTCTCTATATCTTCTTCCTTAACATCATATGTAGCTTTTACCTTTCTACTTATTCAGAGAACAAGTGGTTTTATATATGGTTGCCCTGAAAAGGTTACTGATGTTTTCTCTGGGGCTGTTATTATTTCGGGATATTGCATTGATTGATTGTGCTATTTCCTTCTTTTTTTCCTTTATGTAACTTACCTCTCCTCTTGATTTGATGTCCAGCAAATTGTCCCACCAGTCTTGCACTCTTTTTCGCACCAAGACAGCAGAGTTCGTTATTATGCATGTGAAGCTTTGTATAACATAGCAAAGGCGAGAAAGATAAGAGGAACCTGTACTACTCATGTTCTTTTTGGTCTTGCAGTTTGGACTTCATTTGTGCTATTTTTACAGGTTGTAAGGGGAGATTTTATCATATTCTTCAACCAGATCTTTGATGCTTTATGTAAGCTTTCGGCTGACTCAGATCCCAACGTGCAAAGTGCTGCTCATCTTCTAGATAGACTTGTGAAGGTAATGCATCACTTCATTTGAATATTGATTAGAGAGGGAGGAGTATGTAAACGCCTAGCAACAAAATGTGATGTTTAGATGATAAGGAAATCCAGTTGTTTGATATATCACAAGGAGGAGGATAGAAGGTGTTGCAGAGGGAAGGAGAGTCCAAAGATGAGCATTGAGTGTTTGTTGGTTTCATAGGGAAGTTTAAATGGTGTAAATTTAGTAATTTACTAATTTATGGTAGAAAAGCTGGGTGTCCTTCTCTTTCATTTCCTTTTTCCCAATTCTTTTTACTTCCAGTACTTTATGGGAGAGCGAACGAGTTGCTTTAATCAAAATATATGCACAGTTTTGGTATTTTGACTTATCAATTTGAGTGATAACATTGTGCTACAACTTTTGTGGGGATGCAGGATATTGTCACAGAGAGTGAGCAATTCAGGTGAGTTTGGGTTGTTGGAAACCAGTATCTTCATATTGGAATTAAATTTTTATTTTTCTCTTGTTGCTGAGGTATTATTTGACAGCGTTGAATTGTGCATTTTATTTCTTATACAGCATTGAAGAATTTATTCCTTTGTTGAGAGAACGAATGAATGTCCTCAATCCTCATGTCCGCCAATTTCTTGTTGGGTGGATCACAGTCTTAGACAGTGTTCCGGATATTGATATGCTCGGTTTTCTTCCTGATTTTCTTGATGGTAATTGCTTGTATTTCAATGTCAAACATGCTAGCTGTGCAACTCAATGTTACAAAATTGTAAACTCATGTGGTCTCTCTTGACTTGATGAAGTGCAGGATTATTTAATATGCTGAGTGATTCTAGCCATGAAATACGGCAACAGGCTGATTCTGCACTTTCAGAGTTTTTAGAAGAAATTAAGAATTCTCCAGTAAGATCTCTGTCATGTGTGGTTTGTTAAACTTTATAATGACCTTGTGCTGAGCTCCCGTAGGAAAAAATACTGTAAAACTTGTGCAACCCTGCCTACTGGTATTGATGAGACGTCAGATAAAAGATATCTGAAAATATGTTTGTCTCTCAACTTGCTACTTGCATTTACCAATTTTTATTTAGTAACCGTGTTTAGCTTTCCATCTGGATAGAAGATGGCTGTCTTTAGCTCTGTTTTTGTATTTGCATCCTTTTGGAATAATAAGAATTCCTTATTGACAAAAATCTGAAATTAAAAAAAAAAAAAATCTCAAAAGCTGATTTTGTTTGTCCTTTGTAAGTTTTCTAACTTGAGGAATGCTACTATTTAAGTCTGTCGATTATGGCCGCATGGCTGAAATACTAGTGCAAAGGGCAGGCTCGCAGGATGAATTTACTAGGCTGACTGCTATCACTTGGGTAAGTACGTTGATATGTATGTTGCTCGTGAACTATGTTATCCTGGTGTAAAGAATATGCTAGTATTTTAACCTGTCAAATCTGTTTGAATAGACTATTTTGTGTTGTGCAGATAAATGAATTTGTGAAACTTGGTGGAGATCAACTTGTCCCTTATTATGCTGACATTCTGGGCGCAATATTGCCTTGTATATCTGATAAAGAAGAAAAAATAAGAGTTGTAAGTGGAAATGTTGCCATTTTTAATTGTGCTCGTGTTTATTTTCCTCGTTGTGCTGCCTTTTTCTTCACTGTTCTTACTTCTTTGTGTTCCTTCTTTGTCCATTGTTCTCACTTTTCTATTCTTCTGTGTTTCTCCCATTTAGGTTTCTCGTGAAACAAATGAAGAACTTCGTGGAAATGAGGCTGATCCAGCTGAAGGATTTGATGTAGGAGCAATCCTCTCTGTTGCTAGGAGGTATGATGTTACTTATTGAGGGATATTTTGCTGTTGAAGATTTTTAGAAGTTGCACTGTCTTGATACTACATTAAGGTCCTATCTCATTTGGATTCTGTAGCAACCTTAGACTTTTAGAAATGGTCATTAGGGTTTGGACGCTGGAGCCTCCAACTTCCAGCAATGCCTTGTAAAATGATTTAGGGAACTAAAGCTCCTTATGAGGGTGCTCATTTTCTGGGTGTTAGCTCATGATGCATGAATCTGCAAAAAGCAAATGCACTGCTTTAAAAAGAAGCAAATGCACTGCAGCAGATGCTTTTTGTTTGGATATTTTTGCTTTGTACTGTAATTGGATAATTTGGGACCTGCTTTCATATAAATTTGCGGTGCGGCTGGTGATGCCAAAGACTATGAAAGAACTATTGTGCTGCTGGATGAGATACAATTGTAGAAACCCCGCTTGTGTGAAGGAGAGGAAGCAGAGATACTTGAGGGAATATACAGTTGTATATATTTTGAAATATAGATGCCTAAATCTATTAGCTCTGTGATGTAATTTTCACAATGAATATGAGGAAAATGGTATAATTCATTAGTTATATACAACAGTGAATGATTCATAAATGGTTACTATCCTTTTTTACTGTCCAGACTATCTTGCTTGTATTAATAGCTTTTTTAATATATACAAATAAGCTTTTTTCCACTATAAAACTAATTTAATTAAAAATGAGATTGAATTATTTAAGAAAACCAAAACTTAACAGCATTCGTGATAAGAATAATTATATCCAAGTGGCTATATGTTACATGTAATTTGATTCTACTTAACTTTGTGTCTCAATTTGTTTATCAGGCAGTTGTCTAGTGAATGGGAAGCAACACGTATTGAAGCATTACATTGGATGTGGACCCTGCTGAATAGACATCGGTCAGAGGTGAAGACCTAAAATTTATTGATGGTCACCTTCTTTATTCTTTTGCACAATGAGAATGCTCTCTCATTAATTCATATGAGTACCCTTTATTGTTGAATTACTCTTACTTGAGGTTGTTATTCCGTGGAATATCTTCTTGTTGGGTTATTGATGTTGAAGTTGTGAAAGCCATTATCACATTGAGGTTGAAGTTGTTAATTGTTGAGATATCTTTCCTTTCTGAGTATTCCTCATTCATTTTGTTGTTATTGAGATTCTTGTATACGTTGTGATTGAGCCATGGGCTGTGTGTTGTGGTAACATTAGTATTGTTGATTTTGGCAAGTGTTGTGGCATATGGGCACATGTGGTGCGTGTTGTGGCATATGGGCACATCCATATGGGCACATGTGGGCATATGGGCACATGTTGTGATATCCATTAAGTGTACAACAACAATAACAACATAGCAGCGTATTCCCACAACTGGGGTCTGGGGAGGGTAGAGTGTACGTAGACCTTACCCCTGCCTTTAAAAGACAGAGAGGCTGTTTCCGGAAGACCCTCGACTCAAGAAGGGGAGAGGGGAGGGGCAATAACAAGCAAACCGATCTGACTACCAAAGCAAAAAATACAAACCTAGCAAAAGGTAATGCAATAAGAAAACCAAAACAAAAGACAACGACAAGTAGTAATAGGAGACTAGGGGTACAAATACAAATACAAAAAAAAAAAAAGAAACGAAAAAAACACGGAAGGCACCAAGTGGTGTATCAAAGCTACTGCTACAAACCAGGACAACACTCGACCACCTAACCCTTTACCTTAATTCTCAACCGCCACACCTTCCTCCTATCCATGGTCATGTCCTCAGTGAGCTGGAGCAACGCCATATATTGTCTAATCACCTCTCCCTAATACTTCTTCGGCCCGCCTCTACCTCTCCGTCGACCCTCCCATACCAGCCTCTCACACCTCCTCACCGGAGCATCAAGGCCCATCTTCTTCACATGCCCGAACCATCTAAGTCTCGCCTCCCGCATCTTGTCCTCCACAGAAGCCACACCCACCTTGTCCCTAATAACTTCATTTCTACTTTTATCTAACCTGGTATGCCCGCACATCCACCTCAACATCCTCGTCTTCGCCACCTTCATCTTCTGGACATGGCATGTCTTGACCGACCAACACTCTGTCCCATACAACATAGTCGGTCTGATTACTGCTCTATAGAACTTACCTTTAAGTTTTGATGGCACATTCTTATCACACAAAACACCGGAAGCGAGCCTCCATTTCATCCACCCCGCCCCAATATGGTGTATGACATCCTCATCAATCTCCCCATTCCCTTGTATAATAGACCCAAGGTACTTGAAACTTTCTCTCTAAGGAATGACTTGTGACTCAAGCTTCACGTCTTCGTCCTCTTCCTGAGTTGCGCTATTGGAACTTGCACTCCACGTATTCTGTTTTGGTCCTGCTCAACTTGAAACCTTTAGACTCCAAAGTCTGTCTCCAAACCTCTAACCTCTCGTTAACACCACAACGCGTCTCGTTAATCAGTACAATGTCATTTGCAAACAACATGCACCACGACACCTCCCCTTGAATGTGGCCCGTCAGCGCATCGATCGCTAGGGTAAACAGAAATGGGCTGAGGGCTGACCCCTGGTGCAGCCCCATCACAACTGTGAAGTGTTCCGAGTTCCTCTTACCGTCCTCACCCGAGTCTTAGCACCCTCGTATATGTCATGCAACAGGAACGCCTCTAGCCTCCAAACATCTCCACAACACCTCCCTCGGCACTTTATCGTAAGCCTTCTTTAAGTCGATGAACACCATATGTAAATCCCTCTTTCTCTCTCTATACTGCTCCATCAACCTCCTAGCAAGATGAATAGCTTCTGTAGTCGGACGCCCTAACATAAATCCGAATTGATTCTCTGAAATAGACACAATCCTCCTCACTCTCAGCTCCACCACCCTCTCCCATACTTTCATAGTATGGCTCACTAGCTTGATATCCCGATAGTTGTTGCAATTTTGGATATCCCCCTTGTTCTTATACAACGGGATCATCGTACTCCATCTCCATTTCTCGGGCATCTTCTTCGTCCTAAAAATGACATTAAATAGCTCAGTTAGCCATTCTAAGCCCGCCCTACCCACGCTCTTCCAGAATTCCACCGGGATTTTGTCTGGCCCGGTCGCTCTCCCCCTGCTCATCTTATGCATAGCCCCCTCTACCTCCGCAATTTTAATACGCCTGCAATACCCAAAGTCCTGACGGGTCTTGGAGTTTTCTAAGTCCCCCAACACAATGTTTCTATCCCCTCCTCGTTCAGGAATTTATGGAAGTATGCCTGCCATCTCTGTCGAACCAGAGCCTCGTCCAACAACACTCTACCTTCCTCATCCTTGATGCACTTCACTTGTTCCAAGTCACGGGTCTTTCTCTCTCGCACTTTGGCTAACCTGTACAACTTCTTGTCCCCTCATTTGCCTCCAACTTCTTCATACAAGCACTCAAATGCGGCAGTCTTGGCCGCAGTAACTGCTAACTTTGCTTCCTTCTTAGCCACCTTATATCGCTCCCTGTTCGTCCTCTTCTCCTCCTCATCCTTGCTTTCCACAAGCTTCAAATAAGCCACTTTCTTGGCTTCCACTTTACCTTGGACCTCAGTGCTCCTCCACCAGTCCCCTTTGCGGCCACCAGACGGGCCCTTCGAGACCCCCAATATCTCCCTAGCGGCCTCCCTATTGCAATTCGCAGTCGCGGTCCACATACTACTCGCATCCCCACTACTCCTCCATGCACCCATAGCTAGCAGCTTATCCCCCAACTTCTGGGCGCTGACCTCAGTCAAAGCGCCCCACTTGATCCTAGGAAGACCATACACAACCCTCTTTCTACGCTTCCTCCTAATCTCCAAATCCAAGACCAGGAGCCTATGCTGAGTCATGAGGTTTTCACTAGGGATGACCTTGCAATCCGCGCACAGACCTCTATCCGACTTCTTGAGTAGTAGATAATCAATCTGGGTCTTGGCTGCCGAACTCTGAAAAGTAACCAAGTGCTCCTCCTTATTCGGGAAACTCGAGTTAGCAATTACCAAATCAAACGCCTTAGCAAAATCCAGCAGTGAAGTTCCTCCTTCGTTCCTAACTCCAAAACCGAAGCCTGTGTGCACATCATCGTAACCCCCAGATGCCGCCCAATGTGGCCATTAAATCTCCTCCTATGAAAAGCTTGTCAGTGTGCGGAATACACCTAATGTATACATTAGGTGTATACAGTACAAATTCGATTCAACTTTTAGAAGTAAACTTTTTATATTTGGTCTAGAAATAGGTTAATTGATAACACTCAGATTATGCAGCATATCCTATTATCTGCCAATCAATATATGTTTTGTTGCTAACATTTTATGGTTTCAGAACTATGATCTGATAAGTAAATGCTTATCTTTCTAATATTTTGAAACAGGTCTTGGTTTTTCTGAATGATGTCTTTGACACTCTCCTAAGGGCGCTGTCAGATTCCTCCGACGAGGTATCTCCTATTGCATCACTTCTTTTTCATTGAGTTTGTCATGCTGGTTTGCTTTGATAGGTCTAGTAATTGTTCTAGCTTCTAGTCAACAAAGTTATATTCCAGAATATTTTATTTTGACGGAAAATGTTGATGGGCAAGTGGTAATAGCCCATGTGTTTTTGTGGTAGCATTGTGGTTGTGATTTCTGGGCATTTGCTGACTTTCAAAGGTTCACTTAGATTTTTGTGTATGAGCTGCCGCCTTTGTTTGGTTCCCCCAGTGTTGTTTCTTGTCGAACTTTGGCTGTAATCCTTTCCTGCCCTTTTCCCACCCGTTATACCCTGCGATTTTCTTTCACACCCTTTTCCGGAAGCTTTCACAACTGTACATGACCGCCTCATTCTAATTTCTAGACCTTTCTTAACTTAAAGTTTAGTACTGTTGTAATGCTGGTAAATATTTGCTGCTTGCATGATACCTAAAAGTTGTCTAAACTGCATTTGTGCTATTTGGTGTTTGCTGATTCATTGCCATGGATATTCTCTTGTTTTGGAGGATGAGTGCTACGTGCAACTTATGCTTGACCCATAATAATCTTTGTCTTGAAATGGAAATGAAACTTAAAGGTGATATAAGATATGGAGTAGAATTTCGATAGACACATTGTATCTCAGATTTCTTCTTGGCCCAAATTTGTTTGAGATTGCTAAAATTATCTTTCTACCTTCAAGTTTAACTACTTGTCTCAATTGGTCTGCACATTCATTTATTGGGAAGGTGATCTTAGAAGGTGCTTCCTGTTATTTGCTTGTTCAGAGAGTCTTCTTTAAATTCTCTTCCAGGTAGTGCTCTTGGTTCTTGAGGTGCACGCATGCATAGCCGAAGATCCACAACACTTCCGCCAGCTAGTTGTTTTCCTAGTTCACAGCTTTCAGCATGATCACTCGCTTCTGGAGAAGTAAATGTTATGCTATATTCTTTTTTGGTTTCTTGGGGGCAATTTATGGTGTCTTTTGTTGTTTGGTTTATTGAAGAATTGGTATCTCAGTTTTCCAAATCCCTTTCAGACGTGGAGCTTTGATAATTCGACGGCTATGTGTCCTTCTAAATGCTGAAAGAGTTTACCGTGAACTGTCCACAATACTTGAAGGGGAATCAGATTTGGACTTTGCATCTGTGATGGTTCAGGTTGTACTTCTTGCCCATTTATCTGGAGAATATCCCAGTTTCCAATATATAGAGTGAGAGTGTAACGACACAGAGCTCACACTGTTTTATTCAATGAAATTGTATTGATATCACAGAACTGTCAAGCTCAGTTTTGAGATATTGTCAACTGCGGCTCATGTTTAGAGGCTGCTTAATGTTGTCATTGCTGTAAGCTGAGTGTGCAGGTGTCTGTTTCAGGCCTTAAACTTGATTTTGCTTACTTCAACTGAGTTGTCTGACCTTCGGGATCATCTTAAAGGATCGCTTGTCAATGATGCCGGGAGAGACTTGTTTCTTTCTTTGTACGCATCATGGTGCCATTCGCCAATGGCAATGATAAGTCTCTGCCTGTTAGCTCAGGTAAGCTTGTATAGCCTGCAAGTTTTCTGGCTTTTACTCATAGCTGTATCAAGCATTTTTGTTCCCTTTGTTTCACAGTGAATATGAATAATCAGCTCTTTCTCTGTTACAGGCATATCAGCATGCAAGCTCTGTTATTCAGTCTTTGGTTGAAGAAGACATCAATGTGAAGTTCTTAGTGCAGCTACACAAGTTGATCCACCTTCTGGAGACTCCAACCTTTGCTTACCTTAGGCTGCAGGTGTTTTGAATTTCTCCTTTTGTTGAATTATCAAACCTAGAGTTTTGAATTCCTTTATCATTTGTGGTTCTTTATGATCTAGATATAAATAATATGTATGTTTTAATTCCTTTTGGCCTGGGGGGTTGTCCTGGAAGATGAAATCTAGCACCAGAGTGTTTCGTAACTTTAAGGATATATGCTTATCTCTTAAGCTGCAGATTGAAGGAAAAGGAAATACATTTTCTTTTCTTTGCATAGTACATCGTTCTAACTTTTTGGCTCGTAAAAAGCTCTCTTCTTTTCGTGTAGCCGACCCCAGCTTTACTTGGGAATTGGGGTTGAAGTGTAGTTGTTGGTCATTTGTAAAAGTGCTCTTCTTTGCATTTAGCGTGTTCTCTGCAGTGCGCACCAAAGTCTTGTGAAAAGGCCAGTCTCCATCTCGCATACACGTTAAGAAGGGAAACCAGATTGGAATTGAGAAGCATTGCGTTATTGCCAAACTATCTATATTATCTGCTTACTGCAGCAATAGGAGATCCTGTACTATATTCTGACATTGGTTTTAACAGACTTCAAATTAATTACCTCCCAATGGAGGGAAATAAAAATTGGAAGAGAGTGTGTGGGGGGGGGGGGGGGGTGTTATGCAATGTAGTTTTCATGATTTTTTCCATAGTTGGGCTTTTTCACTGTGCCTTTGTCAATTTCCACCTTTTCCATGTCTTTCTGGAGGATGCAAACTTCTGATTGCTTGTTCTGAATACCCACCACTGATTTCTTTCGGTTAAAATACGTGCATTTTGCATACAAAATGTTGCTGCATTGCTGTTTGAAGTCCCTTTACCCTAGTGGTGTGTTGGTGCTCGAATCAAACCTTGTTATGAACTGCAAATATTAGGGTGCCATATTTGAAGATTAACTCTTTCTTTAATATCTATTTCTGTGCTTGTGTTTCTACACCGTTGATTTCTTCAACTACTTGGAAAAAAAAAGCAATTTATCATCTTCCACTTTACCTTTTATGAAGTCCGTGGTATTTATATCCGTCCAAGACTGAATACACCCTTTACGATTTTAAGGGATGTAATGTAATTTAACTATTGAAATTGGAATGTAATGCTAGCTATTTAACTTTTATTCAACAACTCCAAAATCTGAATATCTCCTAGGTAGCAGTATGAATCTTGTACTGGTTTAATGGTTTTCTTATAGTTCTTTTGTTCTCAATGTGATGTACAAGCAAGTTTATTGGAATTTTCTCTTTTTCACAAAGGTATCTTAGTGGCTCTTCTTCTTGCAGCTTCTTGAACCTGGAAGATACATATGGTTGTTAAAAGCATTATATGGTCTACTGATGCTGTTACCGCAGGTATCTTATGAATTATTTTCTCCATTGGTTGAGTTAAAGATTATTGCGACCGCTGTTATTGTGTCAGCGGTCAACCGCATCTCATTTGTGATGCATGCCTGGATAAGTTTGCAGTTTTGGATTTGCTTCTGCAAGTTGAGTTTCTGTTGAATCATATGTTTAAGATAGTGGCAGAAGTCAATCACTGGGTCACGTTAGTAGTTCAATCCACTTATTAGTCTGTTACTATATCCTAAGAGTTAGTATGTCATGGCTTCCAGCTTATATTTGAAATAATCACTCATGAGTTGTTTTTTTAATTTATTTTGAAAATAGCGGTGGTGTGCGGCCAGATTGAGCACACCTCGACTATTCCACCGGATACCCAACTAGCTACTAAAAACTTTGTTACCGTGTAACTTTGCCTTCCAAGACTTAGGCAGATGGGAAGAAATCACCTAGTGTTTTTTGTCTTTTCTGGAATTCGCTCATGAGTTGGTTTTTATGTTAGTAATACAGTGAACTCTTTACAAAAGCTTATCCAATTGAGTTTTGCTGATCATCACTCTTACATGCACTAGTCAAAAGTATTAAGCTGCACATAAAGTTGTTTGCTAATATAGATATTCTTTATCAATTGATGTAGCAAAGTGCAGCCTTTAAGATTCTCCGTACTCGGTTGAAAACTGTTCCTTCGTACTCCTTCAAGGAAGAGCGGCCTGTACGGACATCGTCTGGGATTCCTTTTTTCAATGGGGGAGGTGGATCGCAAATTTCAGAGGATGTCAACCCGAATGAGAATTCACATGATATGCATAATGGAATAAACTTTGCTTCTAGGCTGAAGCATTTTAAGCAAATTCAGCAGCAGCATCGTTTGCATTCAAAGTCAGAGACTCACTCACGTTTTAATTCTGCTTCATCAATGAAGGTTGGTGTACTGCATGTTATCTACTTATTTTTCTGATTATATTTTGGTTGCATATTAAACTCTGATGCTTGTTCAAAAGTTAACTAAAATACCTGAGGCTAGGAATGTCCTATGTGTAAAGGTATTTAGTTTTTCTCACCACAATGCGCTACTTATCTGTCTATCTGAGCTGAATATGGAGAAAAGAGCTCTGAGATATTTTGGGTTATGCTCCAAATGCGCCAATGACAAAAGATGGACATATTTGGTGTGGGTTGGGTAACTTGCCACAAACACTTGTTTCTTTTAATGGGGGTTGTATGTACTTCGTTGTTGCGAAGTTCCATATTTCTATTATGTGTGTATATATCTTTTTTCATATTGAAGAAATGCCCACCTAGCTTCTGGCCCAACTCCAGTTGGCGCACAAGTTCAAAACTCTGGGGAGTATAGGCCAGCCCCTCTACCTTCATTCCAACTTAAATTTCAGGCTTTGTCCGTGGCAGGGTTCAAACCCGTGCAAGGGACGGAGCCAGGATTTGAAGTTCGAGATTCTAGCTCTTATAAATAACTGGGTTCTAAATTAACAATTTGTACATATTCAATTGATTTATTAGACGAATACAGGTTTTGACCAAAGTTATTGGGTTCAGCTGAACCCGTAACTCAAATGCTAGCTCTGCCCCTGATTACCCGTGACATGCGCCTAACTCATACACCACATGCTTGTGATCCTTACGAGTGAACCAAAGCCCTAGGACTCATATACTCTATTATGTTGAATAGACCTTTCTTTCTTTCTAAAGTCTGCTCTTAGTTCGCATTGGGATCTTAGCTTGAACCTATCTTAATTCAGGAGGTATAAAGACCAGAAGAATCAAAGCAATCTTGATGATCATCGCCTAGAGATGCAGAGCATTTGCAACTTTGATTGTTTTCCCTGGCTCCTAAGAGGTTTCTTATACAGCAATCTTGATTTACTTGCTTTTGATTTTTTGGAAGCACATCCAAGCTTTGTTAAGTTGTAAATTGTTATATGCTTTTAGTTTGTTTTGTCAAAATTCATAAGGGTTGGGATGTAAAAGGGGAGAGGGTGGGGGTATATTTTTAGCTTGGATATTTCCGAGCTACTTTATATTTAAACCTTTTAGAAATATTTAAAGGTAAAATTTGCCCATGTGGTTATGTTATTTTTGTTGAATACCATATGGGCAATGAGGTAGATATGTAGGATATAAAAAGGTTCATTTTATTCATAATTCTTCTGTAACAAATAAAGATTCATTGTGTGTGTTATGCTTTACTCTATTGAGGGCTGTATTCCGGGAGAAATTCAAAAATAGCCAGATTTACCACTGGTCGTTGAAAAATAGCCAAGTTTCAAAAGTCATCGAAATTTAGCCACTTTAAATCTGAGCGAAAATACTGTTCAAAATCCGAAAAAATAGGCCCGCAAATTTTACGGGAGTTCAAGCATAATTATGCTGGACTCCTGCAAATTTTACGGGAGTTCCAGCAAGTATAATTGTCCAGTATAATATACTGGAGTTTGGAGCACTGGTGCTCCAGTCTCCCGCAAATTTTACAGGAGTTAGCAAAGTATGTCGGTCCAGCATAATATGCTGGAGTCGTACACAAATGCACCAGAACTCCCGTATATTATACTGGACCGGTCCCTGTTGCAGCAAAATAGTGGCTATTTTTCATTGACTTGATAAACGCTGGCTATTTTTTATTGACCAGTGTGAAAACTGGCTATACCATGATATTTTAACCTGTATTCCTTGGACATGAATAATTCTCAAAGCTTGAGATTTGTGATATTTCCTATGTTTTCGTTGAAATACCAATAAATTAGCGTGGATATTAAAGGGTCTTATTTGTACCCCAGGAATTCTTTTCTTGCAAGGAAATAAATTTTCTGATATATTATCTCCAAAAAGTAATTTAAAACAAGGGCTTTCAAGTATGTAGACTTTATGAAGAGTATATTTAATTGCCTATAACGCCATATTCTTGTTTAACAAAGATTTTGAACAGAGAAGTTATGCCATAGAGTTTAAGCAATTAACTTGATTCTCGAACATTACTCTGTCTTGATTAGTATTCACGCAAAGCTATATACTCCTTCTATTTTGATTCATGTGATATACTTTCCTTGTTAGCGCATACCAAAAAGAAAAGGCAAAATACATAGGTTACCCTCTAACTATGGACCAAATCCCTGTTACACACTTTTTACGGACAAAAATAATTTGACACACTCAACCTTTGCAGACTGTACCTAATATACACTACTATGCCTACATGGCTAGTGCGTGGTTTACCAACAAAAATGAGAAGAAACAAAAAAAACTTATCTGATTCTTTATTTGAACGATTCAGATCAAATAAAATTGATCCAATGGTTTAAAATAATTTTTCTTTTTTCTTTTCTTTCTTTTATTTCGTTTCTTTTACTTTGTTTTGTTCTTTCTCAACAATCAGAAGACTTCCCCTGTTATTTTTTCCCATAGTCCCTAGATCGTTGTTTGTTTTCTCGAAACTCCTCCCTAAAAATTAAGAAGAGTTTATTAATGAAGCTTGATGGTCTTTGGAATTTTAAAGGTGGAGAGAGATAATATTTGAAGAGGGATTTTCTGGGTTTGTCCAAATTATTTTGAGATTTTTTTGGGATATTGAGAATACTGTTAAAATGAAGGAATTAAAAGTAGCGGAAGAGGAGAAAGCCAGAGTAAGCATTTTCATTCCGCCTAAAAATGGTTTGCTTCTAATGAGATATTGATCTAATCCTATGAAAATGTCGGATCTTAATAATCAATTTTGGGAATCACCTGCTCGAAAAGAAAATAACGAAGAAGAAGAAGGTAAGAAAGATAATGGAGAAAATGAGGTGAAAATAGAACTAGCTGGTGTAGAGAAATCTGAATGGGAGTCGAAGAGATGGCAACCATGGTGGTATATTTGATGAAGAAGATGGGTTTAATTATAATTTAAAGTTTTTCTTTTTTTAATATGTTAATGACGCGTGTCACTATCTCATTGGAGCGTGACATTACACATGTTTTGAAAAACTGGCCAAGAAAAAAATGGTGTGTATTAGGAACAGTCTGGAAAGGTTGAGTGTGTAAAGTTATTTTCGTTCGTAAAAAGTGTGTATCAGGAATTTGGTCCATAGTTCAGGGGGTAATCTATGTATTTTGCCAAAAGAAAATACATTTTAATATTTAGAAATAATTTAACTTTAGACTTTCTATTTTACTCAAACTTTTGTAGCTACACAAACATAATTCCCACAACGATTTTACTACTCTTTAAGCTTTAACACCATAAATATCAAAAGTTATTTTTCCTTCTTAAACTTCGTGCTGAACCAAACTAGCTCACACAAATTGAAACAAAGCGAGTATTATACAATAAAGAGGCATAAACGTACTAGTGTTCCGTCAGTATCCTTACAACTCAAATTACTTACCACTTACCAGATCCTATAGCTAAATTCTGTAGTGTTGGCTATTGACCACATGACTTGAATTCTTAAAAGATTTTTAAAAAATGAAACTTCAATTTATTCACGATGCTGATAGTACACACAAACAAATACTTTTTGCTCCTCCATGCGACCGTGCCAAGCAATCCGTCTAATTTTAAATTTATTGGGAATCCCTTGCTCGCTCAATGGGTTGATAAGCGACAACCCTCCCAAATAGGGTCAATATTACACGAGTGATAGTTGACCCGACCTTGTCATACATGGTCAACATGGCATATCCAAGTAGTAGTACACTTCACTATGATCCACTTGTGCCATATGCGCTCTTTTAATAAGAGGCGGATCCAGGATTTTGACAGGATAGGTGCACTATTAAGAAGGGGTGGATTCAGGATATAAATTCTACATGTTCAACCTTTAGTTCTTACTATTGCGCACCCTTCACACATTTGAATTATAAGTTCAAAATTAAAAATTAATTTTTTTTTTCTCGCATCTATATCTATTATCCACGTTGAAAATGTCGGGATCAGTTGAACCCATTGATTATATGCTATATCATACAATGTTACTAGTTTTAATATACATATTTTGTTTAATCATATAAGATTTTACGGTGACAAAAGAAGAATAGAAATTATAAAGTGTGAAAATTTTGAAAGAATAAATCAACAAACAAAGAAAAAAAATACATGATTAATGCGCAAAAGGAACACCAGACATACTCATCTCCCCGTGACGACCCAAAAGGTCATCACTTGTTTTAGAAATAAATTTTGTGATCCAAGGCCTTAAAACCTCCTTTTTGTTTTACCTCGATTTGCGTGCACAGTCCGGGCGTGTATCCGAAAAGCCATTATGTAAAAATCTGTAAAAAAAATGATGAATTTTGTCTTTAAAATAAATTTAGGTTGACTTCGGCCAACATTTTGGGTAAACGGACCCGGACCCGTGATTTGACAGTCCCGGAGGGTCCGTAGGAAAATATGGGACTTGGGCGTATGCCCGGAATTGAATTCCGAGGTCCCAAGCCCGAGAAATAAATTTTTAAAGAAAATTATTTTCTGGAATATATAAGAGTTTTTGGAAATGAAAGATGTTTGAAATTGATGGTATCGGGCCCGTATTTTGGTTCCGGAGCCCGGTACAAGTTTGAAATAATAATTTGGTTGAATCTGTAAAATTTGGTAAAGATCGAAATTGGTTCGGTATAAAACGGACTTAAAGTTGACAAATTGGAAATTTTGGTGTTCTCGGATGATTTCATGAAATTGGGGTTTAATTCATAGTTGTTGATGTTATTTTGATGATTTGACAGCACGAGCAAGTCCGTATGATATTTTTAGGTTGGTGTGCATGTTTGGTTTGGAGCCCCGAGGGCTCGGGTGAGTTTCGGATAGGGCACGAAGTGGAATTGAACTTAGGAAGTTGCAGGTTTTCAGCTAGTATGTGTTGCAGGCCCTGATCTCGCAATTGCGAGGTCAGGTGTCGCAATTGCGAGCCTATTAGGCTTGGGAATTGCGAGGGTCACTTCGCAATTGCGAAGTATGCCCTGGCCAGCATTTCTCGCAATTGCGAGCAATCCTTCGCAAATGCGAAAAAACCCAGGTATCCCCATCTGTCGCAAATGCGGCATCCCCTTCGCAAATGCGAGTTCGCAATTGCAAACATTGGTCACAAATGCGAAGATAGCAGGTCCCTGCAAATTCATAACTTAGCCGAAAATCTTTCATTTTTCAAACTCTTTCAAAGCCTAAACACCTTTCAGCGGTTTAAAGACAAGTACTCTTCCAAATCGATTTTAAGTCATTTCTAACTCGTTTTTATTAATCTTTAACATCTTTTCTCATGATTTCAACTCAAAATCAAAGGTTTTCATGGGGGAAATTGAGTGTTTTGGGTAGAACTTAGGTTTTTCAAATTTTGGGGGTTTGGACCTCGATTTGAGGTCCGATTTCAGAACAAATTATATATTTGAGTTCGTGGGTGAATGGGTAATCGGGTTTTGGTTCGAACCTTGGGTTTTGACCATGTGGGCCCGGGGTCGATTTTTGACTTTTTGGGAAAAACTTTAGAAAACCTATTTTCATGCATTAGAATTGATTCATTTAGCATTTATTGATATAGTTAAGTGACTTGTGGCTAGATACCAGCGAATTGGTGGTGGAAGCAAGAGGTACAGCGGTAGCTGAGGCTTGAATCGCGTTCGTGACATCGAGGTAAGTGTTTGGTCTAACCTTAGCTTGAGGGATTAAGAGTTGTGTCTTATTTGCTATGTGTTAACTATGGAGTGCGACGTATAGGCATGGTGACGAGTATCTATACGTCGTGTCAAGCATGCCCGTGAGTCTTGTATTGTAATTGTTGTGACTCTGTCGTGGTTTATTCATGCTTAATATGATGATTATCATTATTGTTCCCTTGCTGGGATGTTGTTGTTATATTATGGTTCCCTTGCCGGGATGTTGTTGTTATATTATGATTCCCTTGTCGGGATGTTGTTGTTACATTATTGTTCCCTTGCCGGGATGTTGTTGTTGTATTATGGTTCCCTTGCCGGGATGTTGTTGTTATATTACTGTTCCCTCGTCGGGATTCTTTTATAATTGGTGTTGATATATGAAATGGGAGCGGGTTGCACGCCTGCAACGGTAATATATGAAATGGGAGCAGGTTGCACGCCTATGCCTGCAACGGTAATATATGAAATGGGAGCGGGTTGCACGCCTGTAACGGTACTATATGAAATGGGAGCGGGTTGCACGCCTGCAACGGTAATATTGTGATGGGAGCGGGTTGCACGCCTGCAACGGTTATATATGAAATG